ACCCCATCACCACGTCACCCTGTCACCATGGCAACCTGTCACCATGGCACCCTGTCACCCTGTCACCCTGTCACCATGGCAACCTGTCACCATGGCACCCTGTCACCCTGTCACCCTGTCACCCCATCACCACGTCACCCTGTCACCATGGCAACCTGTCACCATGGCACCCTGTCACCCTGTCACCCTGTCACCATGGCAACCTGTCACCATGGCACCCTGTCACCCTGTCACCCTGTCACCCCATCACCACGTCACCATGTCACCATGGCACCATGGCACCCTGTCACCATGGCAACCTGTCACCATAGCACCATGGCACCCTGTCACCATGGCACCCTGTCACCATGGCAGCCTGTCACCATGGCAACCTGTCACCATGGCAACCTGTCACCCTGTCACCCAATCACCCTGTCACCCTGTCACCATGGCAACCTGGCACCATGGCAACCTGTCACCCCATCACCATGTCACCCTGTCACCATGGCAACCTGGCACCATGGCACCATGGCACCCTGTCACCCCATCACCCTGTCACCCTGTCGCCCTGTCACCATGTCACCTTGGCACCCCATCACCACGTCACCCTGTCGCCCTGTCACCATGGCACCCTGTCACCCCATCACCGTCACCATGGCACCATGGCAACCTGTCACCATGGCAACCTGTCACCCCATCACCACGTCACCCTGTCACCATGGCAGCCTGTCACCCTGTCACCATGGCAACCTGTCACCATGGCACCATGGCAACCTGTCACCGTGGCAACCTGTCACCCCATCACCACGTCACCCTGTCACCATGGCAACCTGTCACCCTGTCACCATGGCAACCTGTCACCATGGCACCCTGTCACCATGGCACCCTGTCACCCTGTCACCCTGTCACCCCATCACCACGTCACCCTGTCACCATGGCACCCTGGCACCCCATCACCGCATCACCCTGTCACCATGGCACGTTGGCACCCTGTCACCCCATCACCGCGTCACCCTGTCACCATGGCAACCTGTCACCCTGTCACCCCATCACCCTGTCACCCTGTCACCATGGCAACCTGTCACCACATCACCACGTCACCCTGTCACCATGGCACCTTGGCACCCTGTCACCCCATCACCGTGTCACCCTGTCACCATGGCAACCTGTCACCATGGCAGCCTGTCACCATGGCAACCTGTCACCATGGCAACCTGTCACCCCATCACCACCACACCCTGTCACCATGGCAGCCTGTCACCATGGCAACCTGTCACCCTGTCACCCCATCACCCTGTCACCCTGTCACCATGGCAACCTGTCACCACATCACCACGTCACCCTGTCACCATGGCACCTTGGCACCCTGTCACCCCATCACCGTGTCACCCTGTCACCATGGCAGCCTGTCACCATGGCAACCTGTCACCCTGTCACCCCATCACCCTGTCACCCTGTCACCATGGCAACCTGTCACCATGGCACCTCGGCACCCTGTCACCCCATCACCACGTCACTCTGTCACCCTGTCACCCTGTCACCATGTCACTTTGTCACCATGTCACCTTGTCACCTTGGCACCATCTCACCCCATCACTGTGGCACCGTGGCACCTTGTCACCATGTCACCTTGTCACCATGTATCCTTGTCACCATGTCACCTTGTCACCATGTCACTTTGTCACCATGTCACCTTGTCACCATGTATCCTTGTCACCATGTCACCTTGTCACCATGTCACTTTGTCACCATGTCACCTTGTCACCATGTATCCTTGTCACCATGTCACCTTGTCACCATGTCACTTTGTCACCATGTCACCTTGTCACCATGTATCCTTGTCACCATGTCACCTTGTCACCATGTCACTTTGTCACCCTGTCACCCCATCATCATGTCACAATGTCACCATGCCACCTTGTTACCATGTCACCATGGCACCATGTCAGCTTGTCACCCCATCACCATGTCACCCCGTCACCCTGTCACCACATCACCATGTCACCTTGTCACAATGTCACCATGTCACCAGGTCACCCCGTCACCGTGTCACTTTGTCACCATGTCACCTTGTCACCCCATCACCATGTCACCAGGTCACCCCATCACCATGTCACTTTGTCACCATGTCACCTTGTCACCATGTATCCTTGTCACCATGCCACCTTGTTACCATGTCACCATGGCACCATGTCAGCTTGTCACCCCATCACCCCATCACCTTGTCACCCCATCACCATGTCACTTTGTCACCATGTCACCTTGTCACAATGTCACCATGTCACCAGGTCACCCCATCACCATGTCACTTTGTCACCATGGCACCTTGTCACCCCATCACCATGTCACCCCATCACCTTGTCACAATGTCACCCTGTCACCCCCGTCACCCCAACACCCCGTCACCCCATCTCCCTGTCACCCTGTTGCTTTGTCCCCCTGTCCCCCTGTCCCTTTGTCCCCCCGCCCCCCCTCACCATGGTGGAGTCCTCCCTGCTGAGGATGAGGAAGCCGTGCCGCTGCCCTTCGTCCTCGGGGGGGTCGGGGGCCGAAGGCTCCTTCTCTGCTGGGTCAGCTGCAGCGCTGGGCTCTGCCTGAGGGACAGGGGGACAAATGGGACAGATGGACAGGGGGACGGATGGACGGGGGGACAGGGGGACAGATGGACGGGGGACGGATGGATGTGGGGACAGATGGACAGGGGGAAAAGGGGACGGGGGGACAGGGGGACAGATGGACGGGGGGACAGATGGACAGGAGGACAGGGAGACAGATGGACGGGGGGATGGATGGATGGGGGGACAGGGGGACAGATGGACAGGAGGACAGGAAGACAGATGGACAGGGAGATGGATGGATGGAGGGACGGATGGATGGGGGACAGGGGAACAGATGGACAAGGGGACGGATGGACAGGAGGACAGGGAGACAGATGGACAGGGGGACATGGGGACACACAGACAGGTGCCACAAGGTGACACACAGAGATGGCACACAGGTGACACACAGAGGACACAAAGGTGACACAGAGGTGACAGAAGGTGACACACAGAGGTGCCACACACAGAGCTGACAGGCAGAGGTGACACACAGAGCTGACACACAAAGATGCCACGCAGAGCTGACACGAGGTGACACACAGAGGGGACACACAGAGGGGACACAGAAGTGACACAGAGGTGACACACAAAGGGGACACAGAGGGGACACACACAGAGGTGCCACAAGGCGACACAGAGGTGCCACACACAGAGGTGACACACAGAGGGGACACAGAGGGGACACACACACAAGTGACACCCAGAGGTGATACACAGAGGTGACACAGAGGTGCCACACACAGAGGTCACACAGAGGAGACAGAGGGGACTCAGAGGTGACACAGAAGTGCCACACACAGAGGTGACACAGAGGTGACACAAAGTGACACAGAGGTGACACACACAGAGGGGACACAGAGGAGCTACAAGGTGACACAGAGGTGACACAGAGGTGACACAGAGGTGACATAAGGTGACACAGAGGTGACACAGAGGTGACACAGAGGTGCCACACACACAGGTGACACAGAGGTGACACAGAGGTGACATAAGGTGACACAGAGGTGACATAAGGTGACATAAGGTGACACAGAGGTGACATAAGGTGACATAAGGTGACATAAGGTGACACAGAGGTGACATAAGGTGACACAGAGGTGACACAGAGGTGACATAAGGTGACATAAGGTGACACAGAGGTGACATAAGGTGACACAGAGGTGACACAGAGGTGACATAAGGTGACATAAGGTGACACAGAGGTGACATAAGGTGACACAGAGGTGACATAAGGTGACATAAGGTGACACAGAGGTGACATAAGGTGACATAAGGTGACATAAGGTGACATAAGGTGACACAGAGGTGACACAGAGGTGACATAAGGTGACATAAGGTGACACAGAGGTGACACAGAGGTGACACAGAGGTGACATAAGGTGACATAAGGTGACACAGAGGTGCCACACACAGAGGTGACACAGAGGTGACACAGAGGTGACACAGAGGTGACATAAGGTGACATAAGGTGACACAGAGGTGACATAAGGTCACATATGGTGACATAAGGTGACATAAGGTGACATAAGGTGACACAGAGGTGACATAAGGTGACATAAGGTGACATAAGGTGACACAGAGGTGACACAGAGGTGACACAGAGGTGACATAAGGTGACATAAGGTGACACAGAGGTGCCACACACAGAGGTGACACAGAGGTGACATAAGGTGACACAGAGGTGACACAGAGGTGACACAGAGGTGACATAAGGTGACATAAGGTGACACAGAGGTGACATAAGGTCACATATGGTGACATAAGGTGACATAAGGTGACATAAGGTGACACAGAGGTGACATAAGGTGACATAAGGTGACATAAGGTGACACAGAGGTGCCACACACAGAGGTGACACAGAGGTGACACAGAGGTGACACAGAGGTGACATAAGGTGACACAGAGGTGACATAAGGTCACATATGGTGACATAAGGTGACATAAGGTGACATAAGGTGACACAGAGGTGACATAAGGTCACATATGGTGACATAAGGTGACATAAGGTGACACAGAGGTGACACAGAGGTGACACAGAGGTGACATAAGGTGACATAAGGTGACATAAGGTGACATAAGGTGACATAAGGTGACACAGAGGTGACATAAGGTGACACAGAGGTGACACAGAGGTGAAATAAGGTGACATAAGGTGACACAGAGGCGCCCCAGAGGCACACGGCGCTGCTCACCCCGGCTCCCGGCGGCGCCAGCACGGTCCACATGTCGTAGCAGCCGGGCAGCTCAAACGTCGTCACCACCTGCGGGCGGACGCTGCGCTGCGGGGACAACGGGGCCATGGCGGGGCTGCTGGGGTCCGATGGGCGCTGGGGGGTGATGTGGGGTGATGTGGGGTGATGTGGGGTGCTATAGGGTGATATGGGGTGATATGGGGTGATGTGGGGTGATATAGGGTGCTATGGGGTGCTATGGGGTGCTGTGGGGTGCTATGGGGTGACGTGGGGTGATGTGGGGTGATATGGGGTGATATGGGGTGATGTGGGGTGATATGGGGTGCTATGGGGTGCTATGGGGTGATGCGGGGTGCTATGGGGTGATGTGGGGTGATATGGGGTGCTATGGGGTGATGTGGGGTGCTATGGGGTGATGTGGGGTGATGTGGGGTGATATGGGGTGCTGTGGGGTGATGTGGGGTGATGTGGGGTGCTGTGGGGTGCTATGGGGTGCTATGGGGTGCTGTGGGGTGCTATGGGGTGATGTGGGGTGCTATGGGGTGATATGGGGTGCTGTGGGGTGACGTGGGGTGATGTGGGGTGATATGGGGTGATATGGGGTGATGTGGGGTGATGTGGGGTGCTATGGGGTGATATGGGGTAATGTGGGGTGATGTGGGGTGCTATGGGGTGCTGTGGGGTGCTATGGGGTGCTATGGGGTGATATGGGGTGATATGGGGTGATGTGGGGTGATGTGGGGTGATATCAGGTGTTATGGGGTGCTGTGGGGTGCTATGGGGTGCTATGGGGTGCTATGGGGTGATGTGGGGTGATGTGGGGTGCTATAGGGTGCTATGGGGTGATATGGGGTGCTAAGGGGTGATGTGGGGTGATATGGGGTGATGTGTGGTGATATGGGGTTCTATGGGGTGCTGTGGGGTGCTATGGGTGCTGTGGGGTGCTATGGATGCTATGGGGTGATATGGGGTGCTGTGGGGTGATATGGGGTGCTATGGGGTGCTATGGGGTGCTATGGGGTGCTATGGGGTGATGTGGGGTGATGTGGGGTGCTATGGGGTGCTATGGGGTGATGTGGGGTGATATGGGGTGCTATGGGGTGCTATGGGGTGCTGTGGGGTCCTATGGGCGCTGGGGGGGTGATGTGGGGTGATGTGGGGTGATGTGGGGTGATATAGGGTGCTATGGGGTGCTATGGGGTGCTGTGGGGTGCTATGGGGTGATATGGGGTGATGTGGGGTGATGTGGGGTGATATAGGGTGCTATGGGATGCTATGGGGTGCTATGGGGTGCTATGGGGTGCTATGGGGTGATGTGGGGTGATGTGGGGTGATATGGGGTGATATAGGGTGCTATGGGGTGATATGGGGTGCTATGGGGTGCTATGGGGTGCTATGGGGTGATATGGGGTGCTATGGGGTGCTATGGGGTGATGTGGGGTGATGTGGCGTGATGTGGGGTGATGTGGGGTGATATGGGGTGATGTGGGGTGATATGGGGTGCTATGGGGCGATGTGGGGTGATGTGGGGTGCTATGGGGTGATGTGGGGTGCTATGGGGTGATATGGGGTGCTATGGGGTGATATGGGGTGCTGTGGGGTGATATGGGGTGATGTGGGGTGCTATGGGGTGATGTGGGGTGATATGGGGTGCTATGGGGTGCTATGGGGTGCTATGGGGTGATGTGGGGTGATATGGGGTGCTAAGGGGTGATATGGGGTGATGTGGGGTGCTATGGGGTGATATGGGGTGCTATGGGGTGCTATGGGGTGATGTGGGGTGCTATGGGGTGATATGGGGTGATGTGGGGTGCTATGGGGTGCTATGGGGTGATATGGGGTGATGTGGGGTGCTATGGGGTGATGTGGGGTGATATGGGGTGATATGGGGTGATGTGGGGTGCTATGGGGTGATATGGGGTGCTATGGGGTGCTATGGGGTGATGTGGGGTGATATGGGGTGATATGGGGTGCTATGGGGTGCTATGGGGTGATGTGGGGTGATATGGGGTGCTATGGGGGTGCTATGGGGTGATGTGGGGTGATATGGGGTGCTATGGGGTGATATGGGGTGATGTGGGGTACTATGGGGTGCTATGGGGTGCTATGGGGTGATGTGGGGTGCTATGGGGTGATATGGGGTGATGTGGGGTGCTATGGGGGGCTATGGGGTGATGTGGGGTGATGTGGGGTGATATGGGGTGATGTGGGGTGCTATGGGGTGCTATGGGGTGCTATGGGGTGCTATGGGGTGATGTGGGGTGCTATGGGGTGCTATGGGGTGCTATGGGGTGATATGGGGTGATATGGGGTGATGTGGGGTGATATAGGGTGCTATGGGGTGATATGGGGAGATATAGGGTGCTGTGGGGTGATATGGGGAGATATGGGGTGCTGTGGGGTGATGTGGGGTGAGATAGGGTGACATAGGGTGCTGTGGGGTGACACAGGGTGCTATGGGGTGCTATGGGTGCTATGGGGTGCTCTGGGATGATATAGGGTGCTATGGGGTGCTATGGGTGTTATGGGGTGATATAGGGTGACATAGGGTGCTGTGGGGTGATATGAGGAGATATGGGTGCTATGGTTGCTATGGGATGTTATAGGGTGCTATGGGGTGCTATGGGGGGCTATGGGGAGATATGGGGTGATGTGGGTAATATGGGGTGCTATGAAGAGATATGAGAAGATATGGGGTGCTATGGGGTGCTATGGGGTGCTATGGGTGCTATGGGGTGCTGTGGGGTGATATAGGGTGACATAGGGCGCTGTGGGTGCTGTAGGGTGATATGGGGTGCTATGGGTGCTATGGGGTGCTATGGGTGCTGTGGTGTGATATGGGGTGTGATGGGGAGCGATGGGGTGCTATGGGGTGCTGTGGGGTGCTATGGGTGCTATGGGATGATATGGGGTGACATATGGGAGCTATGGGGTGCTATGGGGAGATCTGGGGTTCTATGGGGAGCTATGGGGCAGCTATGGGGCAGCTATGCAGCAGCTACAGGGCAGCCATGGGGCAGCAGGGACCCAAAGAGCTGTGGGGCAGGGCTACAGAGCAGGGCAGTGGGGGCAGCGCTATGGGGCAGGGCTACGGGGCAGGGATGGGGGGCAGCGCTATGGGGCAGGGCTACAGGGCAGGGCTGTGGGGCAGCGCTATGGGGCAGCGCTACAGGGCAGCGCTATGGGGCAGCGCTATGGGACAGCGCTATGGGGCAGGGCTACAGGGCAGGGATGGGGGGCAGCGCTATGGAGCAGCGCTATGGGGCAGGGCTACAGGGCAGCGCTATGGGGCAGCGCTATGGGGCAGGGCTACAGGGCAGGGATGGGGGGCAGCGCTATGGAGCAGCGATATGGGGCAGGGCTACAGGGCATGGCTGGGGGGCAGGGCTACAGGGCAGCGCTATGGGGCAGCGCTATGGGGCAGGGCGGTGGGGCAGAGACGCCCCATAGGGTTGCAGAGGTGTGGCCGGCAAATACAGACAGCGCCCCCTTGCGGCGCCGCCCTGGTTCAACCGGCAGCGGCTGCTGTGGCACCAAAACCGGATCCGGGGGAACAGAGAGAACCGCCGGAACGGAGCTGTGCGGGGGGGGGGGGGGGGCTGATGGGGACATGATGGGGACATTGGGGACATTGGGGACATTGGGGACACCATGGGGACACGATGGGGACATGATGAGGCTGTGGGTTGTGGGGCTGTGGGCTGTGGTTGTGGGGCTGTGGTTGTGGGGCTGTGGGTTGTGGGGCTGTGGCTGTGGGGCTGTGGATTGTGGGGCTGTGGTTGTGGGGCTGTGGGTTGTGGGGCTGTGGGTTGTGGGGCTGTGGCTGTGGGGCTGTGGTTGTGGGGCTGTGGGGCTGTGGCTGTGGGGCTGTGCTTTATGGGGCTGTGGCTGTGGGGCTGTGGCTGTGGGGCTGTGGGGCTGTGGCTGTGGGGCTGTGGTTGTGGGGCTGTGGCTGTGGGGCTGTGGCTGTGGGGCTGTGGGGCTGTGGCTGTGGGGCTGTGGTTGTGGGGCTGTGGCTGTGGGGCTGTGGGGCTGTGGGTTGTGGGGCTGTGGCTGTGGGGCTGTGGGGCTGTGGCTGTGGGGCTGTGCTTTATGGGGCTGTGGCTGTGGGGCTGTGGCTGTGGGGCTGTGGTTGTGGGGCTGTGGCTGTGGGGCTGTGGCTGTGGGGCTGTGGTTGTGGGGCTGTGGGGCTGTGGGGCTGTGGGGCTGTGGGTTGTGGGGCTGTGGGGCTGTGGCTGTGGGGCTGTGGTTGTGGGGCTGTGGTTGTGGGGCTGTGGCTGTGGGGCTGTGGTTGTGGGGCTGTGCTTTATGGGGCTGTGGCTGTGGGGCTGTGCCTGTGGGGCTGTGCTTTATGGGGCTGTGGGTTGTGGGGCTGTGGCTGTGGGGCTGTGGATTGTGGGGCTGTGGGGCTGTGGGGCTGTGGGGCTGTGGGTTGTGGGGCTGTGGTTGTGGGGCTGTGGGGCTGTGGTTGTGGGGCTGTGGGGCTGTGGGGCTGTGGGGCTGTGGGTTGTGGGGCTGTGGGGCTGTGGTTGTGGGGCTGTGGTTGTGGGGCTGTGGTTGTGGGGCTGTGGCTGTGGGGCTGTGGTTGTGGGGCTGTGCTTTATGGGGCTGTGGCTGTGGGGCTGTGCCTGTGGGGCTGTGGTTGTGGGGCTGTGCTGTATGGGGCTGTGGCTGTGGCTGCAGGGCGGTGCGTTATGGGGCGGCAGGCGGCACCTGCAGCACGGACAGGGCGCCGTTCTTGCCGTATCCGGAGCACAGCACCACCTCCAGGTCCGGTTCAGGGCTGTTCTGGAACTGTGGGGACACGGAGGGGACAGGGGGCACCGTCAGCATCCCAGAGCAGCTGGGGACGTCGAGGGGACGTGGGGACACCGAGGGGACGTGGGGACAATGAGGGGACGTGGGGACAATGAGGGGACGTGGGGACAATGAGGGGACGTGGGGACATCAAAGGGACATCGAGGGGAGATGGGGACATCGTGGGGACATCATGGGGACGTGGGGGACACGAAGGGGGTGTGGGGACAATGAGGGGACGTGGGGACAATGAGGGGATATGGGGACATCAAAGGGACATTTAGGGGATATGGGGACATCGAGGGGACATGGGGACACTGAGGGGGTGTGGGGATGTGGGGACATGGGGACATTGAGGGGGTATGGGGACATCAAAGGGACATCGAGGGGAGATGGGGACATGAAAGGGATATGGGGACATTTAGGGGACATGGGGGACATTGTGGGGACGTGGGGACATGAAAGGAACATGGGGACATTTAGGGGATATGGGGACATCAAAGGGACATCGAGGGGGACATGGGGACATGAAAGGGATATGGGGACATTTAGGGGATATGGGGGACATCAAAGGGACATCGAGGGGGACATGGGGACATGGAAGGGATATGGGGACATTTAGGGGACATGGGAACATGGAAGGGATATGGGGACATTTAGGGGATATGTGGGACATCGAGGGGACATGGGAACATGGAAGGGATATGGGGACATTTAGGGGATATGGGGACATCAAGGGGACATGGGGACATGAAAGGGATATGGGGACATTTAGGGGATATGGGGACATCGAGGGGACATGGGAACATGGAAGGGATATGGGGACATTTAGGGGATATGGGGACATCAAGGGGACATTGGGGACATGAAAGGGATATGGGGACATTTAGGGGATATGGGGACATCAAGGGGACATGGGGACATGAAAGGGATATTGGGGACATTTAGGGGATATGGGGACATCAAGGGGACATGGGAACATGGAAGGGATATGGGGACATTTAGGGGATATGGGGACATCAAGGGGACATGGGAACATGGAAGGGATATGGGGACATTTAGGGGACATGGGGACATCGTGGGGACATGAAAGGAACATGAGGACATTTAGGGGACGTGGGGACACTGTGGGGACATGGGAACATGGAAGGGATATGGGGACATTCAGGGATATGGGGACATCAAAGGGACATCGAGGGGACATGGGGACACTGAGGGGGGTGTGGGGATGTGGGGGACATCGTGGGGATGTGGAGACATCGAAGGGAAATGGGGACACTGAGAGGATATGGGGACATTGTGGGGATATGGGGACATTTAGGGGACATGGGGACATTGTGGGCATATGGGGACATCAAAGGGATACGGGGACATCAAAGGGACATGGTGATATACAGCGATATGGGGACAGGGTGACACAAAGACACGGTGACAGAGTGACACGGTAACATGGTGACACGGTGACACCCTGACTTGGTGGCACAGTGACACAATGACACGGTGACAAAGTGACACGGTGACACGATGACACCTTGACTTGGTGACATGGTGACACAATGACAGGGTGACACAGTGATTTGGTGACACAGTGACACGGTGACAAAGTGACACAGGTGACACCCTGACTTGGTGACATGGTGACACAATGACATGGTGACAAAGTGACACAGTGACACAATGACACGGTGACAAAGTGACATGGTGACACGGTGACAAAGTGACACGGTGACAAAGTGACACAGTGACACAGTGACACGGTGACATGGTGACACAGTGACCACGGTGACACAGTGACACGGTGACAAAGTGACACAGTGACACAGTGACACGGTGACACGGTGACACAGTGACACAGTGACAGGGTGACACGGTGACACAGTGATTTGGTGACACAGTGACACGGTGACACCCTGACTTGGTGACACGGTGACACAGTGACGCAGTGATTTGGTGACAAAGTGACATGGTGACACAATGACACAGTGACACAATGACACGGTGACACGGTGACACAGTGATTTGGTGACACAGTGATTTGGTGACACGGTGACACGGTGACAAAGTGACACAGTGACACAGTGATGTGGTGACACAGTGACACAGTGATTTGGTGACACGGTGACACAGTGATTTGGTGACAAAGTGACATGGTGACACAATGACACAGTGACACAATGACACGGTGACACGGTGACACAGTGATTTGGTGACACAGTGATTTGGTGACACGGTGACACAGTGACCACGGTGACACGGTGACAAAGTGACATGGTGACACAGTGACACGATGACACGGTGACAAAGTGACACGGTGACACAGTGACACAGTGACACGGTGACAAAGTGACACGGTGACACAGTGACACGGTGACACGATGACACCCTGACTTGGTGACACGGTGACACAGTGACACAGTGATTTGGTGACAGACATGGATTTGGTGACACGGGGACACGGTGACATGGTGACACAGTGATTTGGTGACACAGTGATTTGGTGACACAGTGACACAGTGACAAGGTGACACAGTGACAAGGTGACACGGGGCCCCACCGCTCACCTCCTCGGACAGGAAGGCCGGCTCTCCCATGGCAGCGTTGGCGCAGGGCCCGATGTTGAGGATGCTGTCACACACCTTGGGGGGGGGTTGAGGCGACACGAGGAGGGGTGACACAGCGCCACGGCGTCACCAGGGGTGGGGACGAGGAGGGGGACAACGTGGGGACGGACCTCGAAGGAGAACGTGGCCAACTGGGTGCCCGACTGCGCCTCGCTGCCGTACACCTCGATCTCATCCACCTCGTCCTGAGCCGCTGACTTCCCTCCTGGGGGGGGGGGACAGGGGGACAGGGGGACAGGGGGACAGGGTCACCGCCACCCCCCCAGTGTCACCTCCCCCCCCCAGTGTCACCTCCCCCCCCCCCCCCCCCGGTGTCACCTCCCCCCTCACAGGGGTCACCCTCCCTCCCCCCATAACACCCCATGGGGACACCATAGTGGCACCCCCCCCCCCGAGTGTCACCTCCCCCCCAGTGTCACCTCCCCCTTCACAGGGTCACCCTCCCCCCATCGCTTCCCCCCCCCCTCCCAAATGTCACCTCCCCCCCCCCCCTCAGTGTCACCTCCCCCCCTCACAGGGTCACCTCCCTCCCCATAACACCCCATGGGGACACCACAGGGTGACACTGCCACCCCCTAAGTGTCACCTCCCCCCCCCAGTGTCACCTCCCCCCCCCCCAGTGTCACCTCCCCCTTGACAGGGTCACCTCCCCCTATCGTTCCCCCCCCCCCAGTGTCACCTCCCCCCTCACAGGGTCACCTCCCTCCCCCACAACACCCCATGGGGACACCATAGTGGCACCCCCCGCCCCCGAGTGTCACCTCCCCCCCAGTGTCACCTCCCCCCTTCACAGGGTCACCTCCCCCTATCGCCTCCCCCCCCCTCCCAAGTGTCACCTTCCCCCCCCCCAGTGTCACCTCCCCCCTCACAGTGTCACCTCCCTCCCCCATCACACCCCATGGGGACACCACATGGCACCCCCCCCCCCTCAGTGTCACCTCCTCCCCCCTCAGTGTCACCTCCCCCCTCACAGGGTCACCTCCCTCCCCATAACACCCCATGGGGACACCACAGGGTCACCGCCACCACCCCCAAGTGTCACCTCCCTCCCTCCCCCCCCCCCAGTGCCACCTCCCCCCCCCCAGTGTCACCCTCCCCCCCCCAGTGCCACCTCCTCCCCCCCAGTGCCCACCTCCCCCCTCACAGGGTCACCTCCCTCCCCATAACACCCCATGGGGCCACCACAGGGTCACTGCCACCCCCCAAGTGTCACCTCCCCCCCCAGTGTCACCTCCCCCCCCCCCAGTGTCACCTCCCCCTTCACAGGGTCACCTCCACCTATCGTTCCCCCCCTCCTCCCAGTGTCACCTCCCCCCCTCAGTGTCACCTCCCCCCCTCACAGGGTCACCTCCCTCCCCATCACACCCATGGGGACACCACAATGCCACCCCCCCCCCCCAATGTCACCTCCCCCCCCCCCCCCCATTGTCACCTCCCCCTTCACAGGGTCACCTCCCCCTATCGTTCCCCCCCCCCCAGTGTCACCTCCCCCCTCACAGGGTCACCTCCCTCCCCATCACACCCCATGGGGACACCCACAGTGGCACCCTCCCCCCCCCAGTGTCACCCTCCCCCCTCACAGGGTCACTTCCCCCTATCACTTCCCCCCCCCCCAAGTGTCACCTCCCCCCTCACAGGGTCACCTCCCTCCTCATCACACCCCATGGGGACACCACAGGGTCACCGCCACCTCACAAGTGTCACCCACCCCCCCCCCCAGTGTCACCACCCCCCCCCCCAGTGTCACCTCCACCCCTCCCCGTGTCACCTCCCCTTCACTGTGTCACCTCCCCCCCCAGTGTCACCTTCCCCCCCCCTCAGTGTCACTCCCCCCCAGTGTCACCTTCCCCCCACCCAGTGTCACCTCCCCCCCCACAGTGCCACCTCCCCCCCCCCCAGTGTCACTTCCTCCTCCCAGTGTCACCTCCTCCCCCCCAGTGTCACCTCCCCCTCACAGGGTCACCTCCCTCCCCCATCACACCCCATGGGGACACATAGTGGCACCCCTCCCCCAGTGTCACCTCCCCCTATCGTTCCCCCCCCCCCCAAAGTGTCACCTCCCCCCTCACAGGGTCACCTCCCTCCCCCATCACACCCCCATGGGGACACCACAATGCCACCCCCCTCCAGTGTCACCTCCCCCTTCACAGGGTCACCTCCCCCTATCACTTCCCCCCCCCTCCCAAGTGTCACCTCTCCCCCCCCAGTGTCACCTCCCCCCCCCACCCAGTGTCACCCTCCCCCCCCACAGTGTCACCTCCCCCCTCCCAGGGTCACCTCCCTCCCCATCACACCCCATGGGGACACCACAGTGGCACCCCCTCCCCCCCCCCCAGTGTCACCTCCCCATGCAGTGTCACCTCCCCCTATCGTTCCCCCCCCACCCAGTGTCACCTCCCCCCCCCCTCTGTGTCACCTTCCCCCTCACAGGGTCACCTCCCTCCCCAGAACACCCCATGGGGACACCACAGTGCCACCACAGTGGCACCTCCCCCCCCAGTGTCACCTCCCCCCCCTCCAGTGCCACCTCCCCCCCCCCCTCAGTGTCACCTCCCCCCCTCCAGTGCCACCTCCCCCCCCCCTCAGTGTCACCTCCTCTCCCCAGTGTCACCTCCTCCCCCCCAGTGCCACCTCCTCCCCCCCAGTGCCACCTCCCCCCTCACAGGGTCACCTCCCTCCCCATCACACCCCCATGGGGACACCACAGGGTCACCGCCACCCCCCAAGTGTCACCTCCCCCTCCCCCTCCCCCCGCCCAGTGTCACCTCCCCCCCCAAGTGTCACCTCCCCCCCTCTCCTCCCCCCCAGTGTCACTCCCCCCCCTGGTGTCACCTCCCCCTCACAGGGTCACCTCCCCCTATCGCTTCCCCCCCCCCAGTGTCACCTCCCCCTTCACAGTGTCACCTCCCTCCCCATCACACCCCCATGGGGACACCACGGTGGCACAATGTCACCTGTCCCCTCCCACAGTGTCACCTCCCCCCCATGGGGACAGCAGGGGACACCACAGTGTCCCCCTCCCCCCACTGTCACCTCCCCCTCCCCCTAAAATGTCACCTCTTCCCAAAGTGTCACCACCCCCCCCCCCCCAAAATGTCACCTCCCCCCCTTGGGGACATCACAGTGGCACAGTGGCACCTGAGCCCCCAAAGTGTCACCAACCCCCCCCCCCAATGTCCCCATTGTCACCAACCTGCCCACGGCCCCGATGACTCCGAGCGCTTCTTCTTGGTTGGGGGCTCCTCCTGTGCGGGGACACAGAATGGGGACATGGGGACAGCAGCATCACCAGACATGGGGACACAGAATGGGGACAAAAGTGCCACCAGGACATGGGGACACAGAATGGGGACATGGGGACAAAAGTGTCACCAGACATGGGGACACAGAATGGGGACAGCAGTGCCACCAGGACAAGGGGACACAGAATGGGGACATAGGGACAAAAGCGTCACCAGATATGGGGACATGGGGACAGCAGTGTCACCAGGACATGGGGACACAGAATAGGGACATGGGGACAAAAGTGTCACCAGATATGGGGACACAGGGACACAGAATGGGGACACAGGGACAGCAGTGCCATCAGGACATGGGGATGCAGAATGGGGACATGGGGACAACAGTGTCACCAGATATGGGGACACAGAATGGGGACAAAAGTGCCACCAAGACATGGGGACACAGAATGGGGACATGGGGACAAAAGCGTCACCAGATATGGGGACACAGAATGGGGACAGCAGTGCCACCAGGACATGGGGATGGAGAATGGGGACATGGGGACAGCAGTGTCACCAGGACATGGGGACACAGAATGGGGACAAAAGTGCCACCAGGACAAGGGGACACAGAATGGGGACATGGGGGACAGCAGTGACACCAGATATGGGGACATGGGGACAGCAGTGCCACCAGGACATTGGGGACACAGAATGGGGACATGGGGACAGCAGTGCCACCAGATATGGGGACACAGAATGGGGACATGGGGACAAAAGTGTCACCAGACATGGGGACATGGGGACAGCAGTGCCACCAGGATATGGGATGGAGAATGGGGACATGGGGACAAGCAGTGTCACCAGGACATGGGGAACACAGAATGGGGACAGCAGTGCCACCAGGACAAGGGGACACAGAATGGGGACATGGGGACAAAAGTGTCACCAGACATGGGGACACAGAATGGGGACAGCAGTGTCACCAGGACATGGGGATGCAGAATGGGGACAAAAGTGCCACCAGGACAAGGAGACACAGAATGGGGACATGGGGACAGCAGTGACACCAGATATGGGGACATGGGACAGCAGTGCCACCAGGACATGGGGACACAGAATGGGGACATGGGGACAGCAGTGCCACCAGATATGGGGACACAGAATGGGGACATGGGGACAAAAGTGTCACCAGACATGGGGACATGGGGACAGCAGCGCCACCAGGACATGGGGATGCAGAATGGGGACATGGGGACAGCAGCATCACCAGACATGGGGACACAGAATGGGGACAAAAGTGCCACCAGGACACGGGGGGGGGGGGGGACACAGAGACCAGGGGGAGGTGGCCATGGGGACATCGCCATGGCGGGGACACGGTGGCCATGGGGACACCAGCAAGGCGGGGACGTGGGGACCCAACGGTGGGGACATGGTGGCAGCAGAGACATGGGGACATGGGGACATGGGGACATGGGGACACAGTGAGGATGGGGATCTCCAACGACCCCCAGTGACCTCAATGACCCCAACGACCTTCAATGACCCCCCAATGACCCCAATGACCCCCAGTGACCTCAACGACCCCCAACAACCCTCAATGATCCCCAATGACCCCAATGACCCCTCCATGACCTCAATGACCCCAATGACCTCCATCAACCCCCAATGACCCCCATTGACCCCCAACGACCCCTCCATGACCTCAATGACCCCCAACGACGCCCAATGACCTCCATCAACCCCCAATGACCTCCATCAACCCCCAATGACCCCCATTGACCCCAATGACCCCAACGACCCCTCCATGACCCCAATGACCCCCAATGACCCCTCCATGACCTCAATGACCCCCAACGACGCCCAATGACCTCCATCAACCCCCAATGACCCCCATTGACCCCAATGACCCCCAACGACCCCTCCATGACCTCAATGACCCCCAATGACGCCCAATGACCTCCATCAACCCCCAATGACCTCCATCAACCCCCAATGACCCCCATTGACCCCAATGACCCCAACGACCCCTCCATGACCCCAATGACCCCCAATGACCCCTCCATGACCTCAATGACCCCCAACGACGCCCAATGACCCCAATGATCTCCATCAACCCCCAATGACCCCCATTGATCCCAATGACCCCCAACGACCCCTCCATGACCTTAATGACCCCCAACGACGCCCAATGACCTCCATCAACCCCCAATGACCCCCATTGACCCCAACGACCCCCAATGACCCTCAATGACCTCAATGACCCCCAATGAACCCCAAACAACCCCCAATAACCCCAAATGACCTTAATGACCCCAATGACCCCCAACAACCCCAACAACTCCCAATGACCCCAATGACCCCAATGATGACCCCCAACGATGCCCAATGACCCCCAACAACCCCTAACGACCTCAATGACCCCACAACGACCCCAACGACCCCCAATAACCTCAATGACCCCAAGGATGAGCCCCAATGATACTCAGTGACCCCAACAACCCCCAATGACAACCAATGACCCCAATGACCCCCAGCGAACCCCAACAACCCCAATGACCCCCAACGACCTCAATGACCCCACGACCCCCATCGACCCAAATGACCCCAATGACCTCCAATGATCTCAATGATCCCCCAACGACCCCCAACGACCCCCAACCACCACAACGACCCCCAATGACCTCAATGACCCTCAATGATCCCCAATGACCCCCAACGACCTCAATGACCCCACGACCCCCATCGACCCAAATGACCCCAATGACCTCCAATGATCTCAACGATCCCCAACAACCCACAATGACCCCCAGCGACCCCCAACGACCTCAATGACCCCCAATGACAACCAATGACCCCCAACGATCCCAACGACCCCCCATGACCCCCAATGACCCCAACAACCCCCAATGACCTCAACGACCCTCAATGATCCCCAATGACCCCCATCGACCCCAATGACCTCCAATGATCTCAACGATCCCCAACGACCCACACTGATCCTAACGAACCCAACGACCCCCAATAACATCTTCGACCCCATGACCCCCAACAACCCCTGAATGCAATGACCTCAATGACCCCCAAGGACCCTCAATGACCCCCAATGACCCCCAACGACCCCTAACGGCCTCAATGACCCCACAATGACCCCAACGACCCCAATGACCTCAATGACCCCAATGATGACCCCCAACGACGCCCAATGACCCCAACAACCCCCAACGACAACCAGTGACCCCAATGACCCCCAATGACCCCAAGGATGACAACCAGTGACCCCCAACGACCCCAACGACCCCCAATGACCCCCAACGACCCCCAACAATGCCCAATGACCCCAACAACCCCCAATGACAACCAGTGACCCCAATGACCCCCAATGACCTCAATGACCCCAATGACCACCAATGACACCCAATGACCCCAAGGATGACAACCAATGACCCCAACGACCCCCAATGACCTCAATGACCCCAACGACCCCCAACAACTCCCAATGACCCCAACAACCCCCAATGACAACCAGTGACCCCAATGATCCCCAATGACCCCCAATGACCCCCAATGACCCCAAGGATGACAACTAGTGACCCGTAACGACCCCAACGACCCCCAATGACCCCCAACGACCCCAACGACCCCCAATGACCTCAATGACCCCAATGATGACCGCCAACAACACCCAATGACCCCAACAACCCCCAATGACAACCAATGACCCCAACAACCCCCAATGACAACCAATGACCCCAACGACCCCCAATGACAACCAATGACCCCAATGACCCCCAATGACACCCAATGACCCCAAGGATGACAACCAGTGACCCCTAACGACCCCAATGACCCCCAATGACCCCAACGACCCCCAATGACCTCAATGACCCCAAGGATGACAACCAATGACCCCCAATGACCCCAACAACCCCCAATGACAACCAGTGACCCCAATGACCCCCAATGACCCCCAATGACCCCCAATGACCCCAATGACCCCCAATGACCCCAAGGCTGACAACCAATGACCCCAACGACCCCAACGACCCCCAATGACCTCAATGACCCCAATGATGACCCCCAACGACGCCCAATGACCCCCCAACAACCCCCAATGACAAGCAATGACCCCAATGACCCCCAATGACCCCAAGGATGACAACCAGTGACCCCTAACGACCCCAACGACCCCCAATGACCCCCAATGACCCCAACAACCCCCAATGACAACCAGTGACCCCAATGACCCCAATGACAACCAATGACCCCAAGGCTGACAACCAATGACCTCTAACGACCCCAACAACCCCCAATGACCTCAATGACCCCAATGACCCCCAATGACCCCAAGGCTGACAACCAATGACCCCTAACGACCCCAACGACCCCCAATGACCCCAACGACCCCCAATGACCTCAATGACCCCAATGATGACCCCCAACGACGCCCAATGACCTCAATGACCCCCAATGACAAGCAATGACCCCAATGGCACCAAGGATGACAACCAATGACCCCTAACGACCCCAACGACCCCCAATGACCTCAATGACCCCAATGATGACCCCCAACGACCCCCAATGACCCCAACAACCCCTAATGACAACCAATGACCCCAATGACCCCAAGGATGACAACCAATGACCCCTAACAACCCCAACGACCCCCAACCACCTGTTTGTCCTGCTGCTCCTTGGCGCCCCCTGGTGGCGCGTCCTGCAGCTTCTCGGTGTATTTGAGCAGCAGCGAATTGCCCAGCCGGGAACCCAGGAACAGAAAACCCGGCTCAAGGGTCACCATCTGGGGGGGGAGGAGGGGACATTGGGGACAACGAGGGGGACATTGGGGAGAGGGGGAGATTCGGGGAGTTGGGGACACTGGGGGAAGGGAGACATTGGGGGCATTGGGGGGCTTGAAGGGGTGGGGGACACTGGGGGGGTTGGGGGTGACCTTAGGGGAGTTGGGGATGTTGGGGAGGTTGAGAGGGTTGGGGACATTGAGGGGGTTGGGGACACTGGGGGCATTGGGGGAGGTTGAGGGGGTGGGGGACATTGGGGGGCTTGAGGGGGTTGGGGACATTGAAGGGGTTGGGGGGGTTGGGGACATTGAAGGGGTTGGGGGGGACATTAGGGACAATGGGGAGTTGGGGACATTGGGGAAGGATTGGGAGGTTGGGGACATTGAGGGAGTTGGGGGGGGACATTAGGGACATTGGGGAGTTGGGGACATTGGGCAGGTTGAGGGGGTTGGGGACATTGGGGAAGGATTGGGGGGGTTGGGGACATTGGGGGGCTTGAGGGGGTTGGGGACATTGAGGGGGTTGGGGGGGGACATTAGGGACATTGGGGAGTTGGGGACATTGGGCAGGTTGAGGGGGTTGGGGACATTGGGGAAGGATTGGGGGGGTTGGGGACATTGGGGGGCTTGAGGGGGTGGGGGACATTGGGGGGTTGGGGATGTTGGGGGGGTTGGGAGGGTTGAGGGGGTTGGGGACACTGGGGGGACGTTAGGGGAGTAGGGGACACTGGGGACGCTGGGGAGGTGGGGGACATTGGGGAGGGAAGGATTGGGGGGGGTTGGTGACACTGGGGGGGTTGGGGGGGCTTGAGGGGGAGGGGGACATTGGGGGGTTTGGGGGGGTGGGGGACGGGGAATTAAAACTGGGGGGGTGGGGATGGGGGGGGTTGGGGACATGGGGGGGTTGGGGACAGTTGGGGACATGGGGGGTGGGGATGGGGGGTGGAGACTGGGGGGAATTGGGAATAGGGGGGGTTGGGGGGATTTGGGGATGCAGACGTTTGGGGATGGGGGGAGTGGGGACAGGGGGGAATTGGGGACATTGGGGCAGTGGGGATGGGGGGGTTGGGGGCATTGGGGGAGTGGGGAGATGGGGGGGGTTGGGGGGATTTGGGGATGCAGGGGTTTGGGGATAGGGGGGAATTGAGGCTGGGGGTGTTGGGATGAGGGGGGTTGGGGACATGGAGGATGGGGATATGGGGGGATTGGGGATGCAGGATTTGGGGGATGGGGGCAGTGGGGACAGGGGGGAATTGGGGACATTGGGGCAGTGGGGATGGGGGGGTTGGGGACATGGGGGGGGAGACGGGGGGGTTGGGGACATGGGGGGGTTGGGGACACGGGGGAGTTGGGGATATGGGGGGGTTTGGGGACATGGGGGGGTTTGGGGATATGGGGGGGTTGGGGACATGGGGGGGTTGGGGACACGGTGGGGTTGGGGACATGGGGGGGTTTGGGGACATGGGGGGGTTTGGGGATATGGGGGGGTTGGGGACATGGGGGGGTTGGGGACACGGGGGGGTTTGGGGACACGGGGGGGTTGGGGACACGGGGCTGGGACTCACGCAGGTGGTGAGGACGCTGGCGGCCGCTTTGTCGAAGTGGAAGGAGCGGACGCTGCGCATCCCGTCCGTAATGAGAGTCAGCACGTAACTGAGGGACAGGCAGGGACAGCGGGATGGGGACAATGGGTAACAATGGGATGGGGACAATGGGTAACAATGGGATGGGGACAGTGAGCGACAATGGGATGGGGACAGTGGGATGGGGACAGTGAGCGACAATGGGATGGGGACAGTGGGTAACAATAGGATGGGGACAGTGAGCGACAGTGGGATGGGGACAATGGGATGGGGACAGTGAGTGACAATGGGATGGGGACAATGGGTAACAATAGGATGGGGACAGTGAGCGACAGTGGGATGAGGACATTGAGTGACAATGGGATGGGGACAGTGAGCGACAGTGGGATGGGGAGAGTGGGTAACAATGGGATGGGGACAATGGGTAACAATAGGATGGGGACAGTGAGGGACAATGGGATGGGGACACTGAGTGACAATGGGATGGGGGCAATGGGTAACAATAGGATGGGGGCAATGGGTAACAATAGGATGGGGACACTGAGTGACAGTGGGATGGGGACAATGGGTAACAATGGGATGGGGGCAATGGGTAACAATAGGATGGGGACATTGCGTGACAGTGGGATGGGGACAATGGGATGGGGGACAGTGAGTGACAATGGGATGGGGACAGTGAGGGACAAAGGGATGGGGACAACGGGATGGGGACAATGGGATGGGGACAGTGAGTGACAGCGGGATGGGGACAGTGAGTGACAAAAGGATGGGGACAATGGGTAACAATAGGATGGGACAGTGAGTGACAATGGGATGGGGACAATGGGATGGGGACAGTGAGTGACAATGGGATGGGGACAGTGGGATGGGGGCAATGGGATGGGGACGTTGAGTGACAGCGGGATGGGGACAAGGGCATGGGGACAGTGAGTGACAAAAGGATGGAGACAGTGAGGGACAAAGGGATGGGGACAACGGGATGGGGACAATGGGATGGGGGCAATGGGATGGGGACAGTGAGTGACAGTGGGATGGGGACAGTGAGTGACAATGAGATGGGGACAAGGGGATTGGGGCAATGGGATGGATGACAGCGAGTGACAATGGGATGGGGACAATGGGATGGGGACATTAAGTCACAAGAGGATGGGGACAATGGGTAACAATGGGATGGGGACAGTGAGTGACAAGAGGATGGAGGCAGTGAGTGACAATGGGACAGGGACAATGGGGGATGGTGACAATGGGGGGGTGATGACAATGGGGGGAGATGCCATTGGGAATGGGGACAATGTGGGAGGGGGACAATGGGTGACAATGGGGGGGTGGTGACAATGGGGATGGGGACAATGGGGGGTGATGACAATGGGGGGAGGTGACATTGGGTGACAATGGGGGGTGGTGACATTGGGGAATGGTGACCATGGGGATGGGGCCAATGGGGGGTGGTGACAATGGGTGACAATGGGGGATGGTGACATTGGGGGACGGTGACACTGGGGGGTGGTGACAATGGGTGACAAAGGTAGGTGGTGACAATGGGAATGGTTACAATGGGGATGGGGACAATGGGGGGTGGTGACAATGGGTGACAATGGGGGATGGTGACAATGGGGGGTGGTGACCATGGGGATGGGGACAATGGGGGGTGGTGACAATGGGGGGGTGATGACAATGGGGGGAGGTGACATTGGGTGACAATGGGGGCTGGTGACAAGGGGGGTGGTGACAATGGAGGGTGGTGACAATGGGGATGGGGACAATGGGGGGTGGTGACAATGGGTGACAATGGGGGACAGTGACACTGGGGATGGGGACAATGGGGGGTGGTGACAATGGGTGGCAATGGGGGGCGATGACAATGGCGGTGACGATGGCGGGTGGTGCCAATGGGAATGGTGACAATGGGGCTGGGGACAGTGGGGATGGGGACAATGGGTGACAATAGGGGATGGTGACACTGGGGGATGGTGACACTGGAGGGTGGTGACAATGGGGGGTGATGACGATGGGAATGGTGATACTGGGGACGGGGACAATGGGGGGTGGTGACAATGGGTGACAATGGGGGTGGTGACATTGGGGGATGGTGACACTGGGGGTGGTGACATTGGGTGACAATGGGGGGGTGATGACAATGGTGGGTGGTGACAATGGGAATGGTTACGATGGGGATGGGGACAATGGGGGGTGGTGACAATGGGTGACAATGGGGGGGTGGTGACAATGGGGGGTGGTGACCATGGGGATGGGGACAATGGGGAGGTGATGACAATGGGGAGAGGTGACATTGGGTGACAATGGGGGCTGGTGACAAGGGGGGTGGTGACAATGGGAATGGTGACAATGGGGATGGGGACAATGGGGGGTGATGACAATGGGTGACAATGGGGGGTGATGACAATGGGGGACGGTGACAATGGGGGGTGGTGACAATGGGGATGGGGACAATGGGGGGTGGGGACAATGGGTGACAATGGGGGGAGGTGACATTGGGTGACATTGGGGGGTGGTGACATTGGGGGATGGTGACAATGGGGGGAGGTGACATTGGGTGACAATGGGGGATGGTGACATTGGGGGATGGTGACACTGGGGGTGGTGACAATGGAGGGTGGTGACAATGGGGATGGGGACAATGGGGGGTGGTGACAATGGGTGGCAATGGGGGGCGATGACAATGGCGGTGACAATGGCGGGTGGTGCCAATGGGAATGGTGACAATGGGGCTGGGGACAGTGGGGATGGGGACAATGGGTGACAATAGGGGATGGTGACACTGGGGGATGGTGACACTGGAGGGTGGTGACAATGGGGGGTGATGACGATGGGAATGGTGATACTGGGGACGGGGACAATGGGGGGTGGTGACAATGGGTGACAATGGGGGTGGTGACATTGGGGGATGGTGACACTGGGGGTGGTGACATTGGGTGACAATGGGGGGGTGATGACAATGGTGGGTGGTGACAATGGGAATGGTTACGATGGGGATGGGGACAATGGGGGGTGGTGACAATGGGTGACAATGGGAGGGTGGTGACAATGGGGGGGTGGTGACAATGGGTGACAATGGGGGACAGTGACACTGGGGATGGGGACAATGGGTGACAATAGGGGATAGTGACACTGGGGGATGGTGACACTGGGGGGTGGTGACAATGGGGGGTGATAACAATGGGAATGGTGATACTGGGGATGGGGACAATGGGGGGTGATGACAATGGGGATGGGGACAATGGGGAGGTGATGACAATGGGGATGGGGACAATGGGGGGTGGTGACCATGGGTGACAATGGGGGGAGGTGACATTGGGTGACATTGGGGGGTGGTGACATTGGGGGATGGTGACACTGGGGGGTGGTGACAGTGGGTGACAATGGGGGGGGATGACAATGGGGGGTGGTGACCATGGGGATGGGGCCAATGGGGAGGTGATGACAATGGGGGGTGGTGACAACGGGTGACAATGGGGGGAGGTGACATTGGGTGACAATGGGGGGAGGTGACATTGGGTGACAATGGGGGCTGGTGGCACGGGGGTCCCACTCACATCTCGCCTCCCTTGAGGGAAATCACCATCTTGTCGTAGGAGATGAAGGCGGCCTGGGCGCAATCCAGCGTCAGCCGAACGCCGTCCTGCATGCCTGCGGGGGGACGGACGGACGGACGTGGGGACAGAGGGACAGCAGTGCCACCCCACGGCTGTGTCACCCCACAGCCACGCCACCCCGTGCTTCTGTCGCCCCATTGCTGCGCCGCCCCCTGGTTCTCTCACCCCACTTTTATGTCACCCCACATCCGTGTCACCCCAAATTTGTCACCCCACATCCGTGTCACCCCAAATTTATGTCACCCCATGGTTCTGTCACCCCATATCCATCTCACCCCACATCCATGTCACCCCATCGTTCTGTCACCCCTCATCCATGTCATCCCATATTTGTCACTCCATGCTTACATCACCCCATAGCTGTGTCACCCCACCTCCATGTCACCCCACCTCCGTGTCACCCCACATCCATGTCACCCCACCTCCGTGTCACCCCACATCCATCTCACCCCACATCCACGTCACCCCAAATTTGTCACCCCCCATCCATGTCACCCCAAATTTGTCACCCCATGCTTCTGTCACCCCACATCCCTGTCACCCCACATCCCTGTCACCCTACATCCATGTCACCCCAATTTTACGCCACCCCACATCCATGTCACCACACGTCCATGTCACCCCAAATTTATGTCACCCCATGGTTCCATCACCCCACATCCATGTCACCCCAAAAACATGTAACCCCAAATTTATGTCACCCCATGGTTCTGTCACCCCACATCCATGTCACCCCACATCCATGTCACCCCAATTTTACATCACCCCATATCCATCTCACCCCACATCCATGTCACCCCATCGTTCTGTCACCCCTCATCCATGTCATCCCATATTTGTCACCCCATGCTTACATCACCCCATAGCTGTGTCACCCCACATCCATGTCACCCCACCTCCATGTCACCCCACATCCATCTCACCCCACATCCACGTCACCCCAAATTTGTCACCCCCCATCCATGTCACCCCAAATTTGTCACCCCATGCTTCTGTCACCCCACATCCATGTCACCCCAATTTTACGTCACCCCATATCCATCTCACCCCATATCCATGTCACCCCACATCCATGTCACCCCACATCCCTGTCACCCCACATCCCTGTCACCCCACATCCCTGTCACCCTACATCCATGTCACCCCAATTTTACGCCACCCCACATCCATGTCACCACACGTCCATGTCACCCCAAATGTATGTCACCCCATGGTTCCATCACCCCACATCCATGTCACCCCAAAAACATGTAACCCCAAATTTATGTCACCCCATGGTTCCATCACCCCACATCCATGTCACCCCACATCCATGTCACCCCATATCCATGTCACCCCACATCCATGTCACCCCAAATTTGTCACCCCATGCTTCTGTCACCCCACATCCATGTCACCCCAATTTTACGTCACCCCATATCCATCTCACCCCATATCCATGTCACCCCATATCCATCTCACCCCATATCCATGTCACCCCAACTTTATGTCACCCCCCATCCATGTCACCCCATGCTTCTGTCACCCCACATCCCTGTCACCCTACATCCATCTCACCCCAATTTTACGCCACCCCACATCCATGTCACCACACGTCCATGTCACCCCATGGTTCCATCACCCCACATCCATGTCACCCCAAATTTATGTCACCCCATGGTTCTGTCACCCCATATTCATGTCACCCCACATCCATGTCACCCCACATCCATGTCACCCCAAATTTATGTCACCCCACATCCATGTCACCCCACATCCATGTCACCCCAAATTTATGTCACCCCAAATTTATGCCACCCTATATCCATGTCACCCCACCTCCGTGTCACCCCACCTCCATGTCACCCCAAATCCTTGTCACCCCACCTCCTTGTCACCCCACCTCCATGTCACCCCACCTCCGTGTCACCCCACATCCATGTCACCCCACCTCCGTGTCACCCCACCTCCGTGTCACCCCACATCCATGTCACCCCACATCCATGTCACCCCACCTCCGTGCCACCTCCACCTCCGTGTCACCCCACATCCATGTCACCCCACATCCATGTCACCCCACCTCCGTGTCACCCCACCTCCGTGTCACCCCACATCCATGTCACCCCACATCCATGTCACCCCACCTCCATGTCACCCCACCTCCGTGTCACCCCACATCCATGTCACCCCACCTCCGTGTCACCCCACATCCATGTCACCCCACCTCCGTGTCTCCCCACCTCCATGTCACCCCAAATCCTTGTCACCCCACCTCCTTGTCACCCCACCTCCGTGTCACCCCAAATCCATGTCACCCCACCTCCGTGCCACCTCCACCTCCATGTCACCCCACCTCCATGTCACCCCACCTCCTTGTCACCCCACCTCCATGTCACCCCACCTCCTGTCACCCTACATCCATGTCACCCCACCTCCTGTCACCCCACCTCCATTTCACCCCACCTCCATGTCACCCCACCTCCATGTCACCCCACCTCCTTGTCACCCCACCTCCATGTCACCCCACCTCCTGTCACCCTACATCCATGTCACCCCACCTCCTGTCACCCCACATCCATGTCACCCCACCTCCGTGTCACCCCACATCCATGTCACCCCACCTCCATGTCACCCCACCTCCATGTCACCCCTCCTCCTGTCACCCCACCTCCTGTCACCCCACCTCCTGTCACCCCACATCCATGTCACCCCACCTCCTGTCACCCCACATCCATGTCACCCCAAATCCTTGTCACCCCACCTCTGTGCCACCCCCTGGCCCCGGCGCGACTCACGCAGTGGGAACACGGTGGTGCCAGCAGTGAGGCTGTTGAGGGAGACGCCGTAGGGCGGCACGCTTTGGTTCAGGTACAGCAGGGAGTTGACAGCAAAGATCACGACCCCGCCTGCAGGGAGGGATGGAGGCCATGTGGCACCGGGTGACAACACTGTGACACTGGGGGACATGGCGCTGGCACCGGGGTGGCACCAGGTGAGGTTCCATCACCACTATGGCACCAGGGTGGCACCAGTAATGGCACCAGGAATGGCACCAGGGTGGCACCAGGGATGGCACCAGGATGGCACCAGGATGGCACCAGGGATGGCACCAGGAATGGCACCAGGGTGGCACCAGGAATGGCACCAGGGATGGCACCAGGGTGGCACCAGGGATGGCACCAGGATGGCACCAGGATGGCACCAGGATGGCACCAGGGATGGCACCAGGAATGGCACCAGGATGGCACCAGGGTGGCACCAGGAATGGCACCAGGATGGCACCAGGGATGGCACCAGGAATGGCACCAGGATGGCACCAGGAATGGCACCAGGATGGCACCAGAGTGGCACCAGGGATGGCACCAGGAATGGCACCAGGGTGGCACCAGGGTGGCACCAGGGATGGCACCAGGGATGGCACCAGGAATGGCACCAGGAATGGCACCAGGGATGGCACCAGGGTGGCACCAGGGATGGCACCAGGATGGCACCAGGGATGGCACCAGGGATGGCACCAGGGTGGCACCAGGGTGGCACCAGGGATGGCACCAGGGATGGCACCAGGAATGGCACCAGGGGTGGCACCAGGAATGGCACCAGGAATGGCACCAGGGTGGCACCAGGGTGGCACCAGGAATGGCACCAGGAATGGCACCAGGAATGGCACCAGGATGGCACCAGGGATGGCAGCAGGGATGGCAGCAGGGATGGCACCAGGAATGGCACCAGGAATGGCACCAGGATGGCACCAGGGATGGCAGCAGGGATGGCACCAGGGATGGCACCAGGGTGGCACCAGGAATGGCACCAGGATGGCACCAGGATGGCACCAGGAATGGCACCAGGAATGGCACCAGGATGGCACCAGGGATGGCACCAGGAATGGCAGCAGGGATGGCACCAGGGATGGCACCAGGATGGCACCAGGAATGGCAGCAGGAATGGCACCAGGATGGCACCAGGAACAGCACCAGGAATGGCACCAGGGATGGCACCAGGGATGGCAGCAGGGATGGCACCAGGAATGGCAGCAGGGTGGAACCAGGAATGGCACCAGGGATGGCACCAGGAATGGCAGCAGGGATGGCACCAGGGATGGCACCAGGGTGGCACCAGGAATGGCACCAGGAATGGCAGCAGGGATGGCACCAGGGTGGCACCAGGGATGGCACCAGGGTGGCACCAGGAATGGCAGCAGGGATGGCAGCAGGGATGGCACCAGGGATGGCACCAGGGTGGCACCAGGAATGGCACCAGGGATGGCACCAGGGATGGCACCAGGAATGGCACCAGGATGGCACCAGGAATGGCACCAGGGATGGCACCAGGGATGGCACCAGGGTGGCACCAGGAATGGCACCAGGAATGGCACCAGGGATGGCACCAGGAATGGCACCAGGGATGGCACCAGGAATGGCACCAGGATGGCACCAGGAATGGCACCAGGGATGGCACCAGGGATGGCACCAGGGATGGCACCAGGGATGGCACCAGGAATGGCAGCAGGGTGGAACCAGGAATGGCACCAGGAATGGCACCAGGGATGGCACCAGGGATGGCAGCAGGGATGGCACCAGGGTGGCACCAGGGTGGCACCAGGAATGGCACCAGGGATGGCACCAGGGATGGCACCAGGGATGGCAGCAGGGATGGCACCAGGGATGGCACCAGGAATGGCACCAGGGTGGCACCAGGGATGGCACCAGGATGGCACCAGGATGGCACCAGGGTGGCACCAGGGATGGCACCAGGGATGGCACCAGGGTGGCACCAGGAATGACACCAGGATGGCACCAGGAATGGCACCAGGATGGCACCAGGGATGGCACCAGGGTGGCACCAGGAATGGCACCAGGATGGCACCAGGAATGGCACCAGGGTGGCACCAGGGTGGCACCAGGAATGGCACCAGGGATGGCAGCAGGGTGGAACCAGGAATGGCACCAGGGATGGCACCAGGAATGGCACCAGGGATGGCACCAGGGATGGCACCAGGAATGGCACCAGGATGGCACCAGGGATGGCACCAGGAATGGCGCCAGGGATGGCACCAGGGATGGCACCAGGGACGGCACCAGGGATGGCACCAGGGTGGCACCAGGAATGGCACCAGGATGGCACCAGGAATGGCACCAGGGTGGCACCAGGGTGGCACCAGGAATGGCACCAGGGATGGCACCAGGGATGGCACCAGGGTGGCACCAGGGATGGCACCAGGATGGCACCAGGGATGGCACCAGGAATGGCACCAGGGTGGCACCAGGAATGGCACCAGGGATGGCACCATGAATGGCACCAGGGATGGCACCAGGGATGGCACCAGGGTGGCACCAGGAATGGCACCAGGGATGGCACCAGGGATGGCACCAGGAATGGCACCAGGGATGGCACCAGGGATGGCACCAGGATGGCACCAGGATGGCACCAGGAATGGCAGCAGGGATGGCACCAGGATGGCACCAGGAATGGCACCAGGGATGGCACCAGGGTGGCACCAGGGTGGCACCAGGGATGGCACCAGGGATGGCACCAGGGTGGCACCAGGGATGGCACCAGGGTGGCACCAGGAATGGCACCAGGATGGCACCAGGGTGGCACCAGGGTGGCACCAGGGATGGCACCAGGATGGCACCAGGGTGGCACCAGGGATGGCACCAGGATGGCACCAGGGATGGCACCAGGAATGGCACCAGGGATGGCAACAGGGTGGCACCAGGGTGGCACCAGGGATGGCACCAGGATGGCACCAGGGTGGCACCAGGGATGGCACCAGGGTGGCACCAGGAATGGCACCAGGATGGCACCAGGGTGGCACCAGGGATGGCACCAGGATGGCACCAGGAATGGCACCAGGGATGGCACCAGGGATGGCACCAGGGTGGCACCAGGGATGGCACCAGGGATGGCACCAGGGTGGCACCAGGGATGGCACCAGGGTGGCACCAGGGTGGCACCAGGGATGGCACCAGGATGGCACCAGGAATGGCACCAGGGATGGCACCAGGATGGCACCAGGGATGGCACCAGGAATGGCACCAGGGTGGCACCAGGGTGGCACCAGGGTGGCACCAGGGATGGCACCAGGATGGCACCAGGGTGGCACCAGGAATGGCACCAGGATGGCACCAGGAATGGCACCAGGGATGGCACCAGGATGGCACCAGGGATGGCACCAGGAATGGCACCAGGGATGGCACCAGGGTGGCACCAGGGTGGCACCAGGGATGGCACCAGGATGGCACCAGGATGGCACCAGGGTGGCACCAGGAATGGCACCAGGAATGGCACCAGGTTGGCACCAGGGATGGCAGCAGGGATGGCAGCAGGGATGGCAGCAGGGATGGCACCAGGGATGGCACCAGGGTGGCACCAGGGTGGCACCAGGGATGGCACCAGGGTGGCACCAGGGATGGCACCAGGGATGGCACCAGGGACTGGGACTGTCACCAAGGCTGTCACCCAGAATGTCACCAAGGACATCAGCCAGTGTCACCAACGCCGTCACCCAGGCTGCCACCAGCACTGTCCCCAAGGACACCTCCTCACCACCACCACGACGTCCCCAAAGGTGTCCCCAAAGCCGGACCCCCCGCCGCTCCCCGCCTCTCACCGATGGGTTTGGGGACGGCCAAGGCCTGCGTGCAGTCGAAGGGCAGGTTGCTGAGGGACCAGATGACGGGGTGAACCTTCTGCATGATGTTCAGCGAGATGGCCACGATGCTGCACGTGTCCTGACGCACCGCCACGCGCCTGGCCCAGCGGGACGTCACCGCTCTGCCACCTCACTGCCACCTCCCCATCAACGCCACCTCCCCATCACTGCCACCTCACTGCCATCTCACTGCCACCTCCCCAGCAGTGTCACCTCCCCAGCAGTGTCACCTCCCCAGCAGTGTCACTGCTCTGCCACCTCACTGCCACCTCCCCATCCCCATCAGTTCCCCATCCCCATCACTTGTCCACCCCAACCACACCCCCATCCACTCCCCATCCCCATCCTCATCCACTCTCCATCCCCATTCCCACCACCTCCCCTCCCCATCACCTCTCCATCCCCATCCTCATCCCCTTCCCCTCCCCATCCCCACCACCTCCCCATCCACATCCACTCTCCACCCCCATCCCCTCCCCTTCCCCATCCCCATCCCCATCAGCTCCCCATCCCCATCCCCTTCCCATCCTCATCACTTCCCCATCCCCATCACTTCTCCACCCCCATCCCCACCCCCATTGCCTCCCCATCCCCATCCCCACCACCTCCCCATCGCCATCCACTCCCCATCCCCAACCCCAACCACTCTCCATCCCCATCCACCCCCCATCCCCACCACTTCCCCATCCCCATCACCTCCCCAACCCCACCCCCATCCACTCCCCATCCCCAACCCCACCCCCATCCACTCCCCATCCCCATTCTCATCCCCATCCCCATCCCCATCCACTCTCCATCCCCATCCCTACACCTCCCCATTCCCACCACCTCCCCATCCCCATCCCCACCACTTCCCCATCCCCATCATTTCTCCATCCCCATCACTTCTCCACCCCCAACCCCACCCCCATCCCCATCCCCATCCCCGTCCCCTCTACCTCTCCATCCCCATCTCTACGACCTCCCCATCCCCATCACCTCCCCATCCCCTCCCCATTCCCACCACCTCCCTAAACCCATCACTTCTCCATCCCCATCACTTCCCCATCCCCATCCCCTCCACCTCTCCATCCCCATCCACTCTTCATTCCCATCCTCTCCACCTCCCCATCCCCATTCCCTCCCCATCCCCATCCCCTCCATCCCCATCCCCCCCTCCTCCCCATCACCTCCCCATTCCCTTCCCCACCACCTCTCCATCCCCTCCATCCCCATCCCCACTCCCTGCCCATCCCCATCACCTCCCCATCCCCTTCCCCACCATCTCTCCATCCCCATCCACTCTCCATCCCCATCCCCATCCCCTCCACCTCCCCATTCCCATCCCCTCTAACCACATCCCCATCCCCTCCATCCCCATCCCCAACTCCTCCATCCACATCCCCATCACCTCCCCATCCCCTTCCCCACCACCTCTCCATCCCCTCCATCCCCATCCCCACTCCCTGCCCATCCCCATCACCTCCCCATCCCCTTCCCCACCATCTCTCCATCCCCATCCACTCTCCATCCCCATCCCCATCCCCTCCACCTCCCCATTCCCATCCCCTCTAACCACATCCCCATCCCCTCCCCATCCCCATCCCCAACTCCTCCATCCACATCCCCATCCACTCTCCATCCCTATCTCCACCACCTCCCCACTCCCATCCCCATCCCCTCCCCCTCCCCATCCCCAACCCCTCCACCTCCCCTCCCCACCCCCCTCCCCCCCAGGGCAGGGCTGCAGGCCTTTCCTTACCCCGGCCACGTCTGGTTGGGCTCGAAGAGGATGAGGAGGGTGGGCTCGTAGTACCCACACAGGAACTGCATGTCGATGATGTTGAGCAGCTTCTCGTCCAGCTCCCGCACGTCGATGATGTAGCTGGGCAGGAAGCTCGACTTCTGCCTGCCACCAAACGGGGATGTGGGTCGGGGGCTTCGGGGGGGGGATCACCCCAAAAAGCTCCCAAGGCCGGGGACCCCACGGCCTGAGCCCAACCGGCGCGGGGCACCTCTGGGATGTGGGCCACGTGGAGCTCAGCATTGGCCACAATGAGCCAGGAATTGATGGAAGGACCGCACTGAGCTCCGTGCTGCACACGGGAAGGTGAACATTGGCCACGATGAGCCACGCGTTGGCCACATTGAGCCATAATTTGGGTGAGTCGACCGCACTGAGCTCCATCTTGGACACGTGGAGCTCAACATTGGCCACATTGAGCCATAATTTGGGTGAGTCGACCGCACTGAGCTCCATCTTGGACACGTGGAGCTCAACATTGGCCACATTGAGCCATAATTTGGGTGAATCAACCACACTGAGCTCCGTCTTGGACACCTGGAGCTGAACATTGGCCACATTGAGCCACACATTGGCCACGATGAGCCACATATTGGCCACATTGAGCCAGAATTTGGGTGAGTCAACTGCACTGAGCTCCGTCTTGGACACATGGAGCTCAACATTGGCCACACTGGCCACATCAAGCCACACATTGGCCATGATGAGCTTCACATTGGCCACGTTGGCCACCCTGAACCACACATTGGCCACAATGAGCGACATATTGGCCACACTGAGCCATAATTTGGGCGAGTCAACTGCACTGAGCTCCACGTTGGCCACACTGAGCCACACACTGGCCACGGTGAGCCGCATATTGGCCACATTAAGCCATAAATTGGGTGAGTCAACCACACTGAGCTCCGTGTTGGACACATGGAGCTCAACATCGGCCGCATCAAGCCACACTGAGCCACACATTGGCCACAATGAGCCACATATTGGCCACATTGAGCCATAAATTGAGTGAGTCAACCACACTGAGCTCCGCCTTGGACACCTGGAGCTGAACATTGGCCACGCTGGGTCACAGACTGGCCACATCAAGTCATAAATTGGGTGAGTCGACCACACTGAGCTCCGCGTTGGACACATGGAGCTCAACATTGGCCACGTTGGCCACATCAAGCCACACGTTGGTCATGATGAGCCTCACATTGGCCACATTGAGCCATGATTTGGGTGAGTCGACCACACTGAGCTCCGTCTTGGACACGTGGAGCTCAACATTGGCCACATTGGCCACATCAAGCCACACAATGGCCATGATGAGCCTCACATTGGCCACGTTGGCCACCCTGAACCACACACTGGCCACAATGAGCCACATATTGGCCACAATGAGCCATAATTTGGGTGAGTCGACCGCACTGAGCTCCGTGTTGGACACATTCAGCTGAACATTGGCCACACTGGGTCACAGACTGGCCACATCAAGTGATAAACTAGGTGAGTTGACCGCACTGAGCTCCGTCTTGGACACGTGGAGCTCAACATTGGCCACGCTGGGTCACAAATTGGCCACACTGAGCCATAATTTGGGTGAGTCGACTGCACTGAGCTCCGTCTTGGACACATGGAGCTCAACATTGGCCACATCCAGTCATAAAATGGGTGAGTCAACCACACTGAGCTCCGTGTTGGCCACATTGAGCCACATATTGGCTACACAGAGCCACATATTGGCCACACAGAGCCACAAATTGTGTGAATCAACTGCACTGAGCTCCATCTTGGACACGTGGAGCTCAACATTGGCCACACTGGCGACATCAAGCCACACATTGGCCATGATGAGCTTCACATTGGCCACCCTGAACCACACATTGGGCACATTGTGCCACATATTGGCCACATTAAGCCATAAATTGGGTGAGTCAACCACACTGAGCTCCGTGTTGAACACATGGAGCTCAACATCGGCTGCATCAAGCCACACTGAGCCACATGTTGGCCACGATGAGCCATAATTTGGGTGAGTTGACCGCACTGAGCTCCATGTTGGCCACAATAACCAACATATTGGCCACATCAAGTCACAAATTAAGTGAGTCAACCACACTGAGCTCCGTGTTGGACACGCAGAGCTGAACATTGGCCACGTTGGCCACCCTGAACCACACATTGGCCACATTGTGCCACATATTGGCCACATGGAGCCATGAATTGTGTGAGTTGACCACACTGTGCTCCCTGTTGGCCCCACCAGGCCACATGACGGCCATGTGGGCCACGCTGAGCCACTGATTGGTCAAGTTGACCATTCTGAGCTCCATGTTGGCCACATGGAGCCACATATTGGCCATGCTGGCCACACCAGACCATGCTGGGCCACAGATTGTTCAAGCTGACCTCTCTGAATTCCATGTTGGCCACATGGAGCCACACGTTGGCCATGCCGGGCCACATGACGGCCACGCTGAGCCACTGATTGGTCAAGTTGACTGCGCTGAGCTCCTTGTTGGCCACATGGAGGCACATGTGTTGGCCATAATGGCCCACATGAGGGCCACGTTGGGCCACAGATTGGTCATGTTGACCACTCCGAGCTCCATGTTGGCCACATGGAGCCACACATTGGCCATACTGGACCATGCTGAGCCATAGATTGGTCAAGTTGACTGTGCTGAGCTCCATGTTGGCCACATGGAGCCATACTGGGCCACGTAAGGGCCACGCTGAGCCACCGATTGGTCAAGTTGACCACTCTGAGCTCCATGTTGGCCACACCAGGCCACGTGATGGACACATTGGCCACGCTGAGCCACTGATTGGTCAAGTTGACTGCACTGAGCTCTGCGTTGGCCACATGGAGCCAGATGTCGGCCATACTGAGCCACATGAGGGCCACGTTGGGCCACAGACAGGTCAAGTTGACCATTCTGAGCTCCATGTTGGCCACACCAGGCCACGTGATGGACTCGTTGGCTGTGCTAAGCCACTGATTGGTCAAGTTGACTGCATTGAGCTCTGCGTTGGCCACATGGAGCTGCAAATTGGCCATGTTGACCACACCAGGCCATGCTGGGCCACAGATTGGTCAAGCTGACCACTCTGAGCTTCACACTGGCCACATGGAGCCATATGTCGGCCATGTTGGCCATACTGGGCCACATGAGGGCCACGCTGAGCCATAGATTGGTCAAGTTGACCACTCTGAGCTCCATGTTGGCCACGTGGAGCCACACGTTGGCCATACTGGACCATGCTGAGCAACAGGTTGGTCAAGTTGACTGCGCTGAGCTCCGTGTTGGCCACATGGAGCCATACTGGGCCACGTAAGGGCCACGCTGAGCCACCGATTGGTCAAGTTGACCCCTGTGAGCTCCATGTTGGCCACACCAGGCCACGTGATGGACACATTGGCCACGCTAAGCCACTGATTGGTCAAGTTGACTGCACTGAGCTTCACATTGGCCACATGGAGCCACATGTCGGCCATACTGAGCCACATGAGGGCCACGTTGGGCCGCAGACAGGTCAAGTTGACCATTCTGAGCTCCATGTTGGCCACATGGAGCCACACGTTGGCCATACTGGACCATGCTGAGCAACAGGTTGGTCAAGTTGACTGTGCTGAGCTCCGTGTTGGCCACATGGAGCCATACTGGGCCACGTAAGGGCCACGCTGAGCCACCAATTGGCCATGTTGACCACTCTGAGGTCTGTGTTGGCCCCACCAGGCCAAGTGATGGACACGTTGGCCATGCTGAGCCACTGATTGGTCAAGTTGAGCTCTGCGTTGGCCACATGGAGCCACATGCTGGCCATACTGAGCCACGTAAGGGCCATGTTGGGCCACAGACACGTCAAGTTGACCACTCTGAGCTCCATGTTGGCCACACCAGGCCACGTGATGGACACATTGGCCATGCTGAGCCACTGATTGGTCAAGTTGACTGCACTGAGCTCTGCGTTGGCCACATGGAGCCACATGCTGGCCATACTGAGCCACATGAGGGCCACGCTGGGCCACAGACAGGTCAAGTTGACCATTCTGAGCTCCACGTTGGCCACGTTGGCCACATTGCACCACATGAAGGCTACGTTGAGTCACAGGCCGGTCAAGCCGACTGCCCTGATCTCCGTATTGCCCCCACAGATCCACGCGGTGGCCACCTCAGGTCATCCCCGCCGTGGCGCTCGCTCACCCCTCTCCCACCAGGCCCTCGTGCTCGTCGGCCAGCGAGTCTCTGCGGAAGGGCAGCACCACCAGGCGGGTGCCGTAGATGAGCATCACGGCGCAGCGCCCGTCGGGGTCCACCCGCACTTTGGGGATGTGCACGTTCTGCACGAAGCCGTCCTGCGGGTGGCAACGGGGGGGACGGAGGTTATGGGGCCGCCCGGTGCCCCCCAGCTGCCATCCCCACCCCCCAGCCCCACACCCACCCGCAGCTCCGGCTCCTCAAAGTAGTGCAGCGAAAGCGTCTTCAGGTCGTGCGTGCCGGGGTCGTACTCCACCACTGACAGCTGCCATGGGATCACACGGTGCAGCAGGGACACGCGGCCCCGTCCCCATCCCGTCCCTGTCCCCATTATGTCCCCATCCCCATCTTCATTCTCATCCCCATCCCCGTCCCCAACCCCACCCCAACCCCATCCCCAACCCCATTATGTCCCCACTCCATCCCCATCCCAACCATCATCCCCATCCCTGTCCTCATCCAATCTCCCATCCCCATCCCTGTCCCCATCATGTCCCCATCCCCACTCCATTCTCATCCATCCCAACCATATCCCCACCTCCTCTCCATTCTCCCCCCCACCCCCCTCCATCCCCCTCATTATGTCCCCATCGATGTCCCCCTCCCCATCCCTATTGTGTCCCCATGCTCATTATGTCCCCATCCTGTTCCCATCCTCATCCCATCCCTGTCCTCATCCCAATTCCCATCCCCATCCCTGTCCCCATTATGTCCCCATCCCCATCTTCATTCTCATCCCTGTCCCCATTATGTCCCCATCCCCATCTTCATTCTCATCCCTGTCCCCATTACGTCCCCCTCACCATCCCCATTATGTCCCCATCCCCATCTTCATTCTCATCCCCCTCCCCATCCCCATTGTGTTCCCCTCTCCAGCCCCATTATGTCCCCATCATGTTCCCATCCTCATCCCATCCCTGTCCCCATCCCAATTCCCATCCCCATCCCTGTCCCCATCATGTCCCCATCCCCATCTTCATTCTCATCCCCATCCCCATTATGTCCCCATCATGTTCCCATCCTCATCCCATCCCTGTCCTCATCCCAATTCCCGTCCCCATCCCCATCTTCATTCTCATTCCTGTCCCCATTATGTCCCCCCATCCCCACTGTGTCCCCCTCCCCATCTTCATCCCCATCCCCATCCCTGTCCCCATCATGTCCCCATCCCCATCTTCATTCTCATCCCTGTCCCCATTACGTCCCCCTCCCCATCCCCACTCTGTCCCCATCTTCATTCTCATCCCCATCCCCATTATGTCCCCATCATGTCCCCACCCTCATCCCATCCCTGTCCCCATCCCCATTCCCGTCCCCATTCCTGTCCTCATCCCTGTCCCCATTATGCCCCCATCCCCATCATGTTCCCAACCCCACCTTCACTCTCATCCCCATCCCCGTCCCCAACTCCACCCCAACCCCATCCCCACTCCATCCCCACTCCCACCCCATCCCAATTCCATCCCCATCCCCACTCCATCCCCATCCCAACCATATCCCCACCTCCTCTCCATCTCCCTCCCACCCCCCTCCATCCCCCTCAAC